ACTCAGCTCGTAAGCAGCTGGAGTCGTCCAGTGTAGCCCAGTGTCGTGTCTGAGAAGGTAGGATTCGTACTAGCAGGAAGTTGTTACAATACAAGTTGACAGTGCAGCTGTTTCTATTTCTTTAAGGAAGATACATATTTGATCTGCCAATGAAAACACGCAAATTAAGTGTATGAACGCAAATGTGAAATGTACAACTCTATAAGCTATCTGTCCAACTGGCTCTCCCACGTACGTACAAGTTCGTGACGTCATTCTTACAACAGGTAAACAATTACGGAAGGTTTCATAAATAATCACGTGACCGGAGCAAGGGTGAGGCTCAGACAGGAAATGAACCTGTATTTACGCAGTGTGATTGTTTAGTGAGCGTATTTTATTTGCTATGGATCGGGTGCACCAATTTGGAACTATAGATATTGTTCTTTTTTTAAAGTCTGACTGAAGTGCTTTCCGATTTCAGTGTTTCTGGTTCGTTTGTTGAGAAGCAAACATTCGATTTTGTCATCTGTTATTACATCATTTGTTAATAATGTACGAGTATTAATGAAGTTTATCGTCTGTAGTGATACCAGTGGTAATCGATATTATTCGACTAATCGATATATGATCTGATATACAGTGAAACTACAAGAATATTATTGCCGGTAGTCGTGTATTAACACATTTTGTCAAGTGTTTTGTGTTTAGGTGATTCACTGAAAACGATAACAAACTTGCCAGTACCTGATGAAGCTTTCTGAATAATATAACCTTTCAGATATTAATTCATGTTAATCGATTCTTGTGAATTTCGATTGAATCATTGTCACGCATCTAATCGATTCTTGTGAATTTCGATTGAAACATTATCACGCAAGTACGCATACACAGTGACTTTAGAAGAATGTAATCTCATCATCATTCTGCTGTCGGGCTAGTAGATTATCGAGGGCGAAATCAGCTAAAAACCAGACGTATTTATGGTGTCCGATGCATTCTGTGCATATTGAATGAAGGACTACTGATTGACGAGACTCGACATGGCGCAGAATGTAAACAATTGCGAGCACGTTCCTATGGTGACGGGTAGCAACAATAGCTACACGCTACCGCGCATGAGACGTGATCCGTCCAGCAAGCCAACGGTGCGGATAGTGGAGAATCCACCACAACGTAGACCTCTGAGTCTGTATGATAACTTACAGCAACGAAGTGGGAGCGTTAGTAGCGCTGCGGTGTCAGTGGGAAACCTCGGAGACAGCGCAGCCCCTGCGACTACAATGGAAAGAAGCCCTTCTCAGGCGAACTGCTTGAGTACTACCGTGCCTCAAAATATAGCAGCCACCAACATCGCCGGAAGACACACACCCACAAGGAACTCCCTGAGACATAGTCGCATGATTGTCCTCAGTCGCACAGGAGGAAAAGGTACGTTTTTATACGGAGTGAAATTGTTTCAGGGGTTAGTCGTATTATTTTCTGTTCGTTTTTGATGTGAATTTGGTCTATTGACATGTTTTTTTTAATTTCAAAGTTGTCTATTATTATCATCAGGAGGAAACGTTCATTACCGACGTAATATTCACCCTAAATTATATAAGGACCACTCTGGAATTGGTTTAATGCGTGTCCAGACGACTTAAGGGTACCAGAGTTTATATTTCGCGTCTGAATTAGTTGTTAAGAGTCTTTCTTCGTGTTTTACAGTGTGTAAAGTACTTGAGGTTTATAATAGCGGTAATGTTGATCATCAGAGTTTTGGCAACGTGTAGACTCGTCAGCCCTGAAGATGGAGACAGTTTATTTCTTCGAAATGTTGACGTTTGCCGACGAGTCTACACGACACCAAAACTCAAAAGGACGACACAGTCATGTAAAATTCATTCTGATTAGCTGAGCGACTATCAGTTTCCAGGAAGGACTCTGTTAAGTTCTTTGTAACAATACTTTCGAAAGGCGAAGATGGTTCTACCGCGCATCGAAGTAAGGACCACACATTCCGTCCCTCGGTGTTATATGTGGTTGAGTGATTACAATCCGGATCCCATGGGAAACGTTTGGTTAGAGGTTGGGGCGGTGCCCCTCGTCCGTTCTGCATGAAAAGGTGGGAAAGTTTCCTGTGGGACTTAAAACTCGATTGACCACAGCGGATTCTGACTGAGCAGTGTGGAGGGGAAATCCGCGTACACACAAAAGTCGAACGTCGAAGGAGGGGCCATTTGGTATTCCAATGGTCGTTCATGCTGCATTCGTTACACTGCAGATGAGGAGAGAGAGGAACATGTCACACATCGGAATGCACAATAACAACCACTCCCCACAGTTGCCATATCTCAGCCTTGAGAGAGAGAAAATGTTGTTTAATTTAATATTATATTAAATTTCTGTCAGCAATTCGTACAATTTGGAATGTTAGTAATATTCGAATACGAAATTTCAAGGTTTTATATCTGCTAAACACGGTCTCGTCTTGAATTAATAATTGCTTTAAAAGCGTTTCAGTCTGTCTACATGTGAAAATATTTTACTTTCATAAATATTGAACAGATTTTTAGTGAGCTTCTGGGTTGTAGCGCCGTGTAGTCTGGTAGAAGTTTCCCTGATGATGGAGGCCTCTGAAACGTCGATGAACTCCTACAAGGCTTCACGGCGCTACAGCCCAGAAGACAGACATCTTCGGACTGATCGTCAGATCTTGTACAAGAATCACAATCGTTAAGTTAAGGATAATTAAAAACAAAAATGAACGCTGGTTGGTTTGTGTGCCCCGTTCCAGTCGGCTGACTTGGGGATCTAGGGTAGAAAATATGACTTGGTTCTGCAGTTGAACTGTTACGAGACGAGACGAGACCTCGGTCCAGTGGTGAAGTCAGGAAGCATATCGTTACCGACTGCAAACTTCACGTGATTTTGCTGAAGATTTATTGTTCCTGTAAGGCGGATAACATATACTTCAGTTCGCAGGGGTAACTTTCTTGACGTAACCCCGAGATTAGAGCAACAAGGGAATGGTGAAGTTTCAAAGACGTCTTCAGGGTGCATTTAGAGGCAAGGGTAGACTTAAGAAAGAGTTAAAAGGACCGAGGCATTAGTGTTTTAGATTTCTGTTCACGAGGTACGTAGTTCAGATTTTAGATGGTGCACGGCTATCTTGGTTTTCTTCAGTTCCTCAGCATGCTGATATATTTTCGGGTTAGAACCACCGCCTTTCAAAGCCTTTCTAGTCGCCAGTCATGACTAAATTCCTATCTCATTGAGTGATTTGTAATCTCCGTACGAAAAATAGTCATTAAACATGAAGGAAATATATTTTCCAAATACGTGACTTTGCGAAAATGGCTCGACTAACTTGCTGCTTACTTATTACTTAGACTATATGAATCTATATTCACTTCTTATGTGGTATAATAAACGCAATTCTGCTATGTGACGTGGGCCCATTCGAGGCATATATGTCCAAACCATGAAAAATATGCCCCTCAAATGACGAAGACCCTCACGACCTTAAAGAGACTAGACGAGGGGTTATTAAGCTTTTTTTTTTGAAATCTGAGACCACATTTGGCCTTATCGACACTCTGGCAGCCAGGTTATATGTTACAATTTATTGAAACTTCTTGGTAATTTAGAAAAAAATGTTACTAATCTACTGTTGCGTGTTAGTTATTCAGTAATTTTCTTTGGAAGATTTTTCTACTATTTTAATAATTATTGGCCTATAAAGAAGACATAAGTGGGTTTATGTCGTGATAAATACTTCACCGCTATATAAATAATAATAATTTCCTGTCATGGATCAGCGATTCGGATCTGCTCAAATTCGGAATTCTGGGTGGAGGTCAACCGCTCGCAAAATACGTACCAACGCAGGTTCAGGACAGAATGGAACAGAAGTTGAAAAATTTTCTCCGTTTTGAGTAGACCTATATTGAGTAGAATTTGATGAAGTCTAAAATACTGGGGAGGGAACTTAAACTGAGAATCTACAAAGTTCTGATAAGGCCAGTAGTCACATATGGATGTGAAGCCTGGACATTAACTAGCTTTGATGAGCAACAACTTAGAATATTTGAACGCAAAATATTACGGAAAATCTATGGTCCAATACAGAATAGTGATGGCTCCTGGAGAATTAGGATGAATCATGAACTAGATTGTATCATACAGGGAGCAGATATCGTGAGGCTAATCAAAAGCTTGGCCATGTTGCAAGAATGGAAGGAAACATGGTGACTACAAGAGTGATGGAATGGAGACCACGGAAACGATGGATAGACGACGTGGAGGAGGATGTAAGGACGATGGGAGTAAGGGGATGGAGAAGAATTGTGAATGATAGGACAGAATGGAAAAAAATCATCGAACAAGCTAAGACCCACACAGGGTTATAACGCTATAAGAAGAAGAAGTATATATAGAGTAGGTAAGGACCAAAATAATTATTTTTTCTCCCCAACGAATGTTGACGTAGAAAAGCAACGACATATTTCATGGAGAGACACTTGGTTGCCGTCAAACTCACCCGGCAAAATCCTCTGACGAGTTAAAAGTAAAGGAATTGTACTTCACTAAAATGTTTTATTTGTACGAAGCGGAACTCCGATGGCAATGAACGATCTGGAGAAGTAAAAATAACCTTCCTTGTGTACACAGAGCGCTGAAACCCTCCGTTCGCCTTCCTGGTGCTTCGGTGGGGTAGATGGAAAGGCGAGTCGAGCCATTTCAGCGCCCGGAGAAACTTCAAAAACCTTCTCTCCCCCTTTATTAATTCCAGTTTGTGAAACTAAGACACAGAGCAGTGGCAAAACCTTTATTTCAGGCACGAGATAAAGGTAATGTTTAAATTAGTGTTCCTCCACCATTTTACCTCCACGAACTTTTACAAGAAACTGTAAATTCGCAAGTTACAGTCAGAAAGAAGTCAACGTCTTTCGTAATTAAAATTCTTCTTACACACACACACACAGGGTTATCATAAATAGTTTTATTAAACATGTGTTTTGTTCTTATATTTCTGCATTCTTTTCGAAAAAATATTTATATGTAAATAAATATTTATGACCGTAGTTTGGTACCGCCATTTTGTGATGTGTGGCACATCACAAAATGGCGGTACGGCACGGCAGTGGTTTAAAGATATTCTGGTATCAGCTTGACGCCTTCATCTGTCTAGTTTGTGTTTCGCTACCAAGTAGAATAAGTCAGTAGCTTAATTATACTCTTCAGTCATCTCTTTCTTGTTCGTTACGAGCCACACGTGAGATTCCGATGTCAGTATATCAAAAGTTACCAGATGTAACTTCAATGTATCGCAGCATCGCCATGTTTGTAATAGTTAAAGTTTGAGAAATTGATTGATACAGATTTTATAGATATGAATCAGTTAGTGGATATCCATATCAGTTAATTATCTCGTTGTTGGATGCGGACGGACTTTCAGACGCTAACAAAGGGAGCGGTAGATGAGAATTTTGGAACTCTGAAGAATGTTTAATCTTGAAATTAATGCGCTTCAGTGTTCGACGTGCAGGGGGTGATTGGATAAACAGGGTTGACTCACCACGATCCGTGTCCCCAAAATGATTAATGATTGTAACTGTCTGTAGGCAGGGTCGGGGAGATGAATCAGTGGTTGTGGGGGCTGTTGGAAGCCCTTGGAAACACGAAGCTGGAATAAACCTCTGAATTTTGAAAATATGTTTAAGCGTAGACAGAACACGTTGGTGGGGGTACAGTTATTTGTGAGGACTGGACTATGCACATAATATTTTCAATAAGCCTTTGGGAAGGCATAAAGTGTCTAAGGAGGATGACCCTTAGATGTCCCTTAGACAAATAAATGGAAAACCTGCCCTTAGAATTTATTTTCATTCCAAATTTATTCGTGTTACATGACTACATGATGTCATGTTTAGGTTAGGTTAATCAGGATTACATTTTAAAACGTTTTCCACGTAACATTAAACTCACATAGAATTTTACGATGTTTATATCGATACGATAAATCGTCAGGTCTACTTTTTTTCGATACTGACCAGCTCCATCGAAAAGAGCGTCCTTAAAGGATTAATACTACGTAAGGTTCATTTTCGTGTTCGTGTTTTAATATCCTGACACCGACGCCCCATGTCTTCTCAGTGGGTTTTTCCTTCGTGGATTTCCACCAGGTGTTACGTACATTGAAAGAAATAAATTAAAAGTTGGTCAGTATTTCTGTGCGATATTTGTATTGTTGAATTACTTTGGTATAAATAAAGAATTTGTTGGACAATCGATGTCTTGGCTGTGTAGATGGCTCTGTCTGCATTGCTGTTTGGCGCCGTAAACAATATCTGAAATAAATGAACATCGCTGTCCGTGTTGATATTTAAAATTGCGTGCAACGTATTTGGATCTCCATACTATAAACATTTCTACACGTTTTTTTAACTCTATTAAATCCCTTTTATGTGAAGACTACAGCTGGTTTTAGTGTCTGGGTTGGTATGTTCGTGCCTAGAAACAATTCCTGCAATAAAAGGTTCGTCCTTAAGAAAATAGCCCGGAAACACTTAACTGCAGATCACGGACTGTAATAACGGTTTGTATCGTTAATATTTTGTACATTGTAACTTTTGGAGCACGTGTACATGCTGTATTTTTGACTGAGTGACCGTAAATGGCAAACCTTTTGTTTTCCTTTTTTGGATTTTGTTTGTTGGTGTCTTGTACAGTCCAGCGTCGGAGGTCCTCAACCCTTTTCATGGAGTTGGCGATCCTCTGTTAGAAACTCTAGCCAGTCGGGTTGAACCCTGGTACTAATACGTAATATGTCTTTAAATTGCATTTCCACGGACCCATAAGCTAGTCAGATGGCAGTAGGATGTGTAAAAAGTCATAATAATACATTACACATTACGATTACAAGTACAGTTCATACTGTTATAAAAATTTCACTTAAAAGTAGTTAAAATGTTACAGATGCGTTAACCATGAATAAATAAATCTTCAGGTTATGTTACCACAGACCTAATCGTGTGGTTAGTAATTTTCCTTTCGAAATTATGTTTCCATTTTGAATTTACCATTTTGTTTTAAAGAACGTCATGGCAAATTCAAAACGAAAACTTTTTTTTTCTGTGTAACGAATCAACCGAAATAAATAAATAAATATTGTACACAAACTTTGTTATGCTTTACACAACTGTTATTAATTTCATTCAAATCCGTCGAGCTGTTCATTTGTACTCCCCTTTTCTTAAATCTCGTATGCCCCTGCCGATATAGTCTAGCCCGGTACACAAATAAGTAAACAAATGAAACACAGCAAGAGGCCAATAAGTAAGTCGGGTTGAAAGCTTCGAGAAGTAGCAGCTAACGCGCATGTAGCTGTTATTACGTAATCGGAGCCAGTTCGAGAAGTAGCAGCTAACGCGCATGTCGCTGTTGTTACGTAATCGCAGCCAGCCCCCCAGCTGTTGCTGAGTGCAATGGGAACTGAAGTCACTTTCTATTATGCTACGTCATGCCAGAGTTTCGCGGCATTGTTATGTAAGCTGAGAGCTATGACAGGAAGTTACTTACCTGCGTGTGCACCTGGTTAGAAAACATGTTCGTTGGATAAGGAAGTGCGTTGTGTCATCCATACTTGCCGAGTTTGAAATTTCTACAACCATCTTTACCACTTTACCGTGTGATAACTATGCATTTTAGTCTATCTCCCTCCCCCCCACCCACCACTACACGTAAATGACGTCACGTGTTGCAGAACTTCGTATAGAATAATTTTCGCTTTCAAGACTTAACACAAGAATGGTGGGAAGAGGATGCATCGACATGTTTGCATAATCAGAGACGGACTGTTTAGTCAAACAGCATAAAACAGTGGGATGTACGATGCTGATGATACTCTACACAGAGATACAGTTGCAATTTGGCACATGAACACAAATAATGTGCACTTCTCAAAACACATAACAGTAAGAATGTAGTCTGTTGTGTAACAATCATTTTATTGATACGCCTTTCTGGCATGATGCCTTTGATGAATACTAGAAGATTATTTTTGTGTTCTAATTTTATTTGAAATCGTCTTCAAACAACCAGACCTGCAATAAAATTAAAGCGACTCCATTTTTTTTAGTTTCTTTTAGTTGCGTAGCTATGTGGAAAGCTACCAGTAGCACAAACACAGTAATATTTGTGTTACACACATCATCGTCTATTTTTCTTTCTAACCATGTCCAGTTTCTTCGTTGTGTACCCAGCAATCATATCTCACCAGGATAAATTGTAATTGCGTGTGATACAGATTATCAGTCTACAGTAGTTACCCCTGTGCCGTGTATATTTCTTGCTTCCTTTGTTTATTTAATGACACTTTTTTTACTGCATACGTAAAAAAGTGATAGGATGATAATGAATGATGAGAATGGAAGTAATAAAGCAGTAGTGCCCTGTAGGATCTGAGATTCTCATCGTAGTGAGTATCAAGATGGCCGTTTTCCGAGTTGTAGCACCGTTTAGGTTGGTAGCCATGGTATAAGTCGCTATCCGAACGTTTGCCTAAAATGATTGATGTTAGCCACTGTAAACTACAGTCAGTTTAACTAGCTTCTAAGCAAGAACTGAAAATGAAACCACCTGAATATGAAAAAGATAAGGCATCAACAGACCTGATAAAATTACATAACGAGAAGCTTTACAATACGTAGGTCTTCTGTTTAACTAACACTGGTAGATCAAGAATTATATGAACAGGATGTGTGGTATGCATGAAAATTTTTGATTAATTTCAAGGGATAGACCAGGGGTTATCAAACCACAATACCCGAGCTGTAAATGGCCTGCTTGTACCTTTTGTGTGACCCACGTATATTTTTTTAATGTTGTAAGCGTATCGCGCTCTGTAATGAAAAATGGTTATGTGTAGGTTAGGGATCTAATTTTAAGTGAATAGTTAACAGAAACAAGAAATCAACAAATTTGTTAAAGAAATTTTGAGTAATATGCGAACGTGTTTATGATATTAAGTTAGTAGCTTTTTAATAAATTCCCATCATTTTTCAGTACAGCTGCTGGTAAGTGCATGAAAATGGAAGCTCCAGGTTTGTGCTGAGAACCCCTGGAATTGACTGATTTGGAGACTTGAGAATACGTAGAAGGAAAGTATCAGAGAAATAGGCTTCGGGGAAGTGAACTGGATTTAACTACTCAGGAGAAGGCAGAATGTCCTGGTGATGAGCCTTTAAATTTTATATTAGGAGATATCTCCATTAATCACATATTAACTGTTCAAGTTGTTGATTGTCTCAGTGCCTCGGAAGTACCACCCTCCTGTGTTGCGCCATCATCGCCTGGCTACAGCACTGGCGGCCTTGCAGGTGCTGTTGGGAGTGGCAGTATCATCTCTCGCTGTGTGGTTGCTCATCTGGGCTCCCAATCTCCGCGTCCGAGACATCCCTTATTGGAGTGGCTTACCAGTTAGTAAACTTACCTAAGATGTACATTCAGGTATATTGTTGATTATTAACAGAAAAGGGCCTTGTTCACTGTATAAGAGACATTATTTCCTTTGTCTTAATTTAATCTTCCTATCCAGCAGAGGCCAGCTGGTTACAGATCTCAGGAATTAATTTATACAATTTCTATTAATTTGTGCTGGAGTTGAATTTGACTTCAATGTTTCGCTTGCATTATTTCTTGTTATCCAGGTTTGGGTGTGCATGAAAGGCTGATATCATACCCAAATGATTTATTTATAAGATCCAAAATTATTATACCATCTAGAATACTTACATGTATGTAATTGTAGTCGCTGAGAGTTCAGATCAAATTTAATGTTTGCGTTTCAGCTGTTGATGTCTGGTATCATGGGGCTACTGTTACTGTGTTGTTGTCATAAAGACTATCCTGGTATGCCATTTGGCATCTGGATGTTCTCCGTTAAGGTGAGCAAAATTTAACATGTGTTTATGTAAATTAAGTCGAGAAGAATGAGATGGAATCCCATGAGACCCGACCATCGTTTCTCTATTGGACAGTTGTGTTCAACAGACGTACTTATTTCTGGATAAAAGATGTTACGCAGCGTATGAACGTACCCCATGTATTTACTATACGTCCACAAATTCGTATTACTCGTTATGCTGTTATGTAGTACACGTTTTAAGTTTTAATTCTCCACTCTTCCACTCTTCTCCTTTTTCCCCCCCTTCTGCCATTTTTTATTTTTCATTCTTTCCCCTTAAATATTATTAAAATCGTCTTTTTGAATAAATTCAACAAAATGATCTTTACAGTAAACAATAAATATTTCGACTATTTTTTTAAATATTTGTTTTTTAATTTGTATTTCCACGTTGAACAGTTTCTGCTTATTCTTCGGTTTGTATTTTTAGAAGTACTGAAACTCTTTCTTAAAACCAGATTTCGATCTAAACCGTGTTCTCGTTTATACAGACTTTGCTGTATTTTCTTTTGCCCCGCGAATGCCCTGAAGATCTGACGCAAGGTTGACGGAATGTCCGCACTCTGTTGCAGGTAATAAGCGTGTGTATGGCAGTAGTGGCTGGAGTGACATGCTTTTGTGCCTGTGTGTTTGCCCTCCTGCACCTCATATTCTTGACGAGCATGACGTGTGAGCCAGCACATGTCCTGAATGCAACATGTGTATGTCAAGACGTACAGCGGACTTATCATTACGCCGACCTCAACTGTCCTGAGGTTGGGAACATCCTCACTATTCTTCTTATAGGGTCCTGTGCCGCTAACAGTATCGGCGGTATCTTGGCCACGTGGTACGTGTTTCTGCACTGGAGCAGTCGATACACTTACCTCTACTCAGAAGTGCAGAACAGCGATAATAAACCCATAATGTTCTCGAACAAGCTGGGAGACCCCAAGTAGAATAATGAAATATTATTCATGAACATTGAAGTGTCTCAATGGAGCACTGTTCTTCTTGAGAAGCTTATAGCAGCTCAGCTGGTCAATAAATTCCTTATCTTTCGTGGATCCATAAGGTTGATTTACTCGCTTGCAGGAGCACACACACCACTGGACCGAATCCTGAGCCAGTTGAATGCAATCTATACCCTCACACCATATTTAAGGTTCATTTTAATATCTTCCCATCTACGCCTAGGTCTCCCAAGTAATCTCTTTTCTTTCTGTTGAATTTAAATAATTTTTTTATGAATTTCTCATGTCTTGCATGCGTACTACATGCCTTGCCTATCATCATCCTCGATTTCATCACCAGTAATATTCATGCAGTTTTTCCCATCTTTTTTTAACTTCGTCTGCTGTAGGTCCGAGTGCCCGCCTCAGCGGTCTGCTCTCATACACCCTCCGTTTATGCTTTTCTCTAAAAGAGGGAGAGATCAAGTTTCACGTCCGTATAAAATTGCACTAAAAATGGTGGTTTTGTAGGAAACGAGAATTAAAAAGATTCTGAAATGATTAATATAAAATATTCCTCAAATTTAATCTGCTCATAAGTTCTTCATAAATATAATTTTGGTCTGTTACTGTCATTTCAAAGTATTTTAAATTTGCCACATTTTTTAAGGGCTTATTAATTACCTTTTTATTATTTTGTCCTGCATTCTGGTGATGAGACACGAACATGTACTGAGGTTTCTCTGCATTTGTTTCCTTACTAGTATCTAATAGTGTATTAGAATATAAAATAAGTAAACAAACATCTATTAACACTATAAAAAAGGTATTAGTGCCATACGCGTTTCAACCTCAAGAGGTTAGGGGATCCTTGTATTCCCTTTTGTTTTATCTTCTTCTATGGTTCTCCGGTCCGTATTCGGTCCATGGCCTCCTCAGTTCTCCTCTTCCATTCGGTCCGTCTGTCCGAGGCTTTGATCGAGGTTTCGAAACATCTTCCTTTTTACGGTGCAAGGTTGTTAGCCTTGCGACCAACCCCCAACCTGGAGGACCAGGGTACCTGTCTTAGTCTGACCTCTCCCCCTTGACCAATCTGGCTAGGGAGGCCCTACCAGTAGCTCTTGGGGTCACTGAGGTACTCAAGCCCCACCACCACACAGTACACATATATATTATGTATTTGTCATAATGAAATGTAATGAATTTGACCGTCGAATTGTATATAACAGAAACAGTCGTGGGAAGAGAAGAGATTTGAAATGAACAGCACTAATTAAAACAAATATACATTATAAAGGAATAAAATGTTAATTCTCTTGTAGAAGTCGACGCTAATGCTTGGATTTGGAAAGTTTTATTTTAGGGAAAATTTGTTATGTATATTGGAAGAGAGGTATTGATTTCTAAAATACATGACTCAAAAATTGAGTTTATTTTCTGTGGTTGACAGTGAAAGTGTTTAAATTTATATTTTAATATAATTCTCGAGTGTATCTGTCAACTAATCTGAAAATCCAGCTTAACGGAAGACATATTATAGATTGTAAAATTCATTAGTGATTTAAAGACGAGCACAAGGGGAATACGACTTTACCTCTTCAAGAGTTACTGAATCATGTTACAGGAACGCAAGAAGAAAGTTCATAAGGAAAGCTTCATGTATTTTGTATTTATGTACGGTATCAACATTACTCATCAGAATAATATAAGTTTTTTATAATTCATAGCCAGAAACTCCCTTCTGAATAAATATATATTTTTTTAATTACTATTGTAAAGTTTACACTTTTCTGTGTCTAGTACTATGAAATAAACCATTTGACGTTTAGTCAAAAAATTTCAATTGCTTCTTCTCGGTGTATTTGCATTTTCTTACGAAAATTAGGTTGTAGAATGTTCTTTCACCTTGCAATCATTTCCACTCAAAAATTAATCTTCATATAACCCAGTGATACTTCTTTATTAGTCTTTCGTAGTATATTGTAATTTAATATAGTCTATGATGACTTTGGTTGCTGTGGTAGTCGTGCTGGTGAAGAGATCAGTCCTACCAATGTAGCATCTGCCTCCAGCAGCGTGAGATCACGAGATGAACCCAGAAACCGTGTTGATAATTCCAGTTCCTTAATCCTCAGTCTTACCTTTGCTCCTCTTACGTATTCACTAAAAGGACGCCATATGTTAGCACAAAATTTGGTATCAACACTCTAAAGCAGCCCATCCACGTACGAGTCCGGCTCGCCTCGGGTTCCATTGAGCCAAACTTGTTTGTGGGTGGGGTGTCACGAGCCGAGTCTGCTATGCATGTGTGGTGAAATATATCCAAGTCAGACTCGTACGTGGATGGGCCGCTAAGTGAAGAACAGAGAATGAGGGTGTTTGGCAAGTTGTTCAAGAGAATATTTGCACCTGAAAGAGTGCAATGGAGAAAATTATGTAACAAGGAGCTTTGTAAATTATACCCTTTACCTAGTAATTTTAGGGTAATTAAATCAAGCTGGTGAGATGGGAAGGTCACGCGACACAAATGAAGGTGGATAAGATGGAATTAATAACATGCGTCGCTGAAAAATGAAATGCGTGCAATATTTTGGTTTGTAACCTAAAGAGGAAAGACTGCATGTGAGACCAGTGTTATAAATGGGGACACAATATTTAAATATGAATGGCATTTCTTGTCCAAAAGAATATTGGCTGTCCAGTGATGATGGCCCCAAAAGTGAAACTTGGAGAAAAAAAGTGCTTATTTCGGAGAGTATACATTTCACATTAGGTTTATTATGGATTTTTTTTACCTTCATTTCTACTTTGCCACATTTTCGATGGACTTATTTACTAACTTTACATGAATCTGTACAGCAGCCTGTTCAACACCTGTGTCTGTTACTTAACTGAACGCTAAATACAGTCAAACAACATGCAGTCATTAAACAAAGGGCAAACCAAATATCAGCTCACCTGCCGTTTTTGGCTGGACGAGGACACACGCAGTGGAACTTCCACCCAAAATCAACGTAAAGATCATCTCCAACCACTTGGAAAATCTTCCCTGTAACCACTTTTCCTTGTGGATCCCCTAACTGCAAGAAACAAGCAACAGGTGTCAATAAAAGCACTGATTTTATAAGGTCATTTGACCATTATGTATGTAAATGAAGGCAATAAACCTGCAGGCACATTTACTTCAGACTGACACTGTGACACCTCAGCACTTAGGACTGATTTTCCCAACAAAATTAATATAAAAACTGAAGAGGATTTACCAGAGATGTTTAATGAACAACCTGTGTGTTATATTACAGATTAAGAAGGAGGGTAAATGGAAATGTTTAAACTGTTAGAACTGAATGAGATAATAGTTGCCCAAGAAAAATATATTTGAAATAGGGCTTCAATACCAGTGGCTCTGGATCTCCTTGGTGTAGATGATTGTCGTGATAGTAATAAAACTGTTGTTAATACGAAAATTGTGAAAACAGTATTCATTTTGTGTACTAATTAGAATTTCTGTCTCAATGGCCACAAAACAATCTGATCTTGAATATGTTTATGTAATTCACACAAAAATGTGACCATACTCTAAGGAATAACAGCTTAAGGGCAGCACGTATTCATATAAACACTACTGGTGATTCTACCATTCTGCAGCATTCCTGTCTGACCAGCAACTGAACCCATTATGTGGGTCTAAATTTCAAAAAGTTCTAAATACAGGCATTACAACATTTTATGTTTTATGGCTAGTAATAACAAGTCAATAAATGATTAATACTGATGAGATAGTTGTAGTAACTGTAAAAAAATCCAAATAGGATTCTTAGATGGACTAGAAACAATGTTTATACAGTGGCAGGAAGTGGTGGTTATTTGAAGGTTATGTCTGACGCTTTTAACATATTTTGGTGACCTTATATTTTGAAGATGCCAGACGTTAAACCTGCTGACACAATGTAAATACGAAATATGTGTCAATTTTGAAGATGCCAGACGTTAAACCTGTTGACACAATGTAAATACGAAATATGTGATTGTAAAGATGAGTTAAAATATATAACAGGTGACATTGGAAAGTTCATTGTACATTATGTACATTTAGTATCATGTAAAATTCTTACGTCAGTAAATTTAGAATTCCGTAGTAATGATGCGAATGTTTCTTCTTTCTCTGGTGTTGGTGGCTTTAGTTCTGGAGGTGATGTGTATTTTTCGAACGCTTGTGCAAATCCACCACGTTTCTTTTCAGTACTTGGTGGCATTTTGTCACAAAGCTCTATTTCTCCGTCAGTGGAGAAGTACCTTTTCAAGTGGCATGCATTAGAGCAAACAAACAACTCATACGTTCTATAACACACGTTGTTACAAATCACACGCCTTAACAGCATCTTAAACAAGATTAATTTTTACGTTTCGCTACGAACAATAAACCTTATATGTTATATATAAATGTCGCCAGGCTAAGCCTAGCACTCTTGCGCCCAAATAGTAAACAGTCTGTATGCTCTGCGGTAGTGTGGTATTTCGCAGAGAGCTGTGCTTTCGCTACGAACAATAAACCTTATATGCTATGTATAAATGTCACCAGGATAAGCCTAGCACTCTTGCGCCCAAACAGTAAATAGTCTGTATGCTCTGCAGCTCTGCGTTAGTGTGGTATTTCGCAGAGAGCTGTGTTAAGATAATATTTAGTTCCTTTTCAATACCAGGTTTGTAAATATAAAGTACGAGGAGCGATTTTGAAAAAGGCTTCCAGGTTATTTCACAATGTAGTCTGGAAGAAACTGGCCTACATTTCATAGACCCTTTTTACCTTCATAATCAGGGTATCACCCTGAAACGTTAGTCAGTTTCTATCATTTCAGAGACCCTTTTTACCTTCATAATCTGGGTTTCACCCGGAAACGTTAGTCAGTTTCTACCAGACTACATGACGTAAAAATAATCATCTCTGTGTTGGAAAGATGGTCGAGTATGTTGGATGGTAGTATTATTACCGACTGAGGTCATTCCTTTGGCTGCTACCATGAATTCATACCACGAACTGCTACCGCCAGATCATAGTTCTACTATTGCTGAATATAGATGGCTTAGATTGTATATGCGTAACGTCATATGCTATCTTCTTGAAAACTTTTGGCACTGATAAAGGTAAAAATCTGCTGCTAACCTCACGGCGCACCCATTGATATACGTTAAGTAATTTCCCTCGCTGAAATGATTTGAGGGAATTTGTATGAGTTGGGAAATTTTATGGTTGATATTTGGGTATGGTGTACGTGAGTCAAAGTAGGCTTGGTACGGTACTGTGAATTTCAGATTGTGTATCGTAGTTTTGTTACGAAGTACATGCAGTGAGTTGTGTGTTTAGATTAGCTGACGAGGCAGGACAAATAGGAGAGTTTGTGTACGCAATATGCGCAGCAGTTCCTGTCTGAAAATATGTTAAACTTCTATGCGTCACAAAGAGTAAAGGGGAGTGAGGAAAGGGATGTAGTTGATGTATCTGATATAGTCTGCTAAGTTAGTTTCCCAAGAACTGTGTTGGTGGAAGTGTGTGATAATTATTATGGGCACATGTCTGTGCAAAGAACAGCAGTCAGAGGCAGATACTGTTGGTGCACACAATGGAACGACTGTTAATTCTATCTCAGACCATGTGCCAGTTAATGACTGCATGGACTGTTATGTTGCTGCATCATCCAGTGGTTCATGTCAGAAAATTCCTTCGTCTTCTACTGTTGATCGCCTGATTTTGGACACTTTGAATGTAATAGGAACTTTAGTTGCGAAGTAAGTACAGGGGCTTAAATTAACCATAGCAGTGGTTTTTATGTATTTCACTTGGTTAAGTTCAGATGACGTGTTAATACATGTAATGTTAATAAATTTCGTAGTCAGATAGGGATGGTAGGTTATAATGGTTTCTCTTTAAATTTTGATAGACCAGTGACTGGTGAAATTGAAAATGTGCCTACTTATTCTCTATTATACAATACTAACCATTCTACCAGCCCACTGGATGCTTTCTTCCTCTTACTTTTATGACAAAGTAGGTGTTTTTCGCTTTATAGTGTGAGTGATGGGCATATCCAAGTAATTCTTACTATCTTAGCTATCCACAATGTAAGAACAAGATATAACTTTCATGTGCAAAATTATAACCTCAGTTTAATGGCTCACCTTCTGTTGTTATGTTTATACAGATATTTCTTTGAACTCTCCATGTTACGTTTGTTTATTTTCTCTGTTTTAGTGAACAAGAGCCTCCACCTGCCATGTTGCAGTTACATGTAATTGCTGATAAAGAAGATGGTTGGATCCAGGTTGTGAGTTCAATGGTGAACGTTATTCCAATGAATGATCCGCTTGGACCATCTGTGATCACCTTGCTGCTTGATGATTGTCCTTTGCCAACAAAAGTGAGTCATTAGCTTGTTTTTGTGATAATGGGATTTATAGTCTTGAATTTAACCTTTAGTGGACTTTTCACAAAAGAAAGATACAAATCTTAACTTTTATGCTAATCCACATTCTTGAGTAGACTGTACTGCATTCACTGTGGAGGTGTCAAATAGATATTTTTTTGTCTGTTTTGGTCTTCAAGATAATGGGAACTTGTGAACTTGTAGGAAGATACCATTGTTTCATAGGAACATACTGCCTCCATCTTCAGGGCTGTGTAACAATAAGTAACTCTTTGTTTTGTATTTATGTGATTCTCAGTATAAACAGCGATTACAATACTGACCAAATTCTTAAATATTATTTAGACGAGCTTTGGCTTCTGAGGGTTGATACTGTCGGTGCTAAGTACAAATTCAGTGTTACTACATTCACAGTTGTATGTGTCCAAATTAAAATCGCTGTGTACTACTGAATTCTTAATAACATTGCGTCAACTGTGCTCTTGACTTACCATGCAGACAAGAATTTCAAGAACTGCTAAGAGTCTGTTTTATCTAGATAAGTTCATGATAATGAAAGGGAGAAGAGTTCTTGTGAGTTATCAGGACACATCGCTTTAAAAATAAAAAAATATTTTGTTTCAATAAATGACGTTATATTTTATTTGGATATGCATGAGATGTTAATTGTTGTTACAACCTGTCTCCGGAGGCCAAAATTCGCTTATAGATTTTAGAATCTTTACTATAAAAATTTGTGATTCCTCGTTGTCGTCAAAAAATGACGTCATCAACAATGTCAACAGATATTTGTTTACTCGGCATTGTTGTGGAACACAACAATTCCGAGTAAACAAATAAGGCTTCACAACAAAGAAATCAAAAACTATCAAGCCAGTCGCATTATCACTGCTCCAGTCATTTTAAAAATATCGCCGTTGTCATTTGTACGCCGCCACATGAACTCAGCTAAATATGTATCCAGATGATGTCGGCCCGTGCCTCTCTGTTTCTTATTCCGCCATTTAGCTGATCCCCATGGTCTTTCTATTGTTTGGGCGTGTGCACCGGATTCCGGATCAACAAAGTTTTATCGATGGTTCATCTTCAAGTGGTTGAAACCTTCCTTTCCGTCCATTCCAAATCCAGATATTCCACTCTCCAGTTTTGTGTCCCGATAACCAACGAGTACCATATTTTCTTTTTGTTATGCGTCTCGAATACACACTCACATCTTGTCTATTTATTTACGCTTAATACATCAGCCTCGTTTTATTTCTCAGGAATCTGTTCTGAAGCTATCGAGCACCTTCAATCTGTCAGCCGAGAGTTCAGTGAGAGGAAAATCAAACCCGACTCATCAGCGAAATATCTGTGTGGTGCTTGGCTGCATTGCGGAGAAGTTGGCTGGACCAAGCAGTATTGCCATCCTCACACAGGGAACCCTCAACTATCTCATCACAAATCTTGTAATCTTAGATTCTGTTTATTTTGTTCTCTGGACTGGGTTTATAAAAATTTGCTCGCCTAGTTACAGAAACATTATTATGTTACGAGTGAAAAATAGTGTCACCAGAGCTAAACACGTGCCATGTTTTATGTAGTATGTTTCTCTTGTTGTTTCCAGAATGTAGATAACCACCCGTTTGTCATCCTGTTTTCTGTGATCGCATTAGAAAAGTTTGCGCAAACAAGTAAGTATGTTTGTATGAATTTAGTGAAATTGTGACGTTCCTCTTCAGATTTAGATCAGTGGTCCCCAACGCGGCGCCTGCCAAGGTTTCTTTTGGGTGCCCGCGTTGTTACGGAAAGAGGTTATACTGAATAATGAAGGTCGTTCAACCATGAACATCATAAAATCAAAGCGCAGATCTCGACTTACTGACGCCTACTGACGCCCATCTTGACGG